GCATCTCCGGCTCCCTTCAGGTGGGATGCCAATTAGGATCCAGGATCCCTAAACCGTCTTAAACACCAAACCCCAAACCCAAAACTCTAGATCCTTATGAGCCCTACATAACCCAAGCCATGTCGGTGCGCGCAGGTCTTCCGCTGCTTAGAGGCAGAGCGTTGCACGCGCTTCACGGATTCGGGCTGCGCAGCTGGATCCTTGTCTTCGGCTCTTGGCTTAGGGCCAAGGTTTAGGATGCTCCTAACATCTCTTAACATCTTATCTTGCATGTCGAGATTCAATTTGCGGATCATTACGAATGATCAGGTTCCTGGAGAGTTGTGGCAGCCATGTGTAGGCTGAAGGTGTCGAGAGCGTGCTTGTCATGTACTCTCGCGACATGACCCCGACTGCCTACCTGTTGCATGCCTTCGGAAAGTCATGTCTCAAGGATACTCCGGCCCCCTGTGTGTGGAGTGCGCTCCTAACTACCACTCCTTCAACTTCGGCAAGCAGTGCGACGAATGCCAGAGCCTGCGCCAGCACCTCGAGGATCAAATAGGGCACCGCAACTACTGGTGCTAGAGACTAAGGGGAGGTTTGGCGTTTTTGAGTTATATTGCTTGAGGATAGTAAAATTAGTTTCAAGTCCTTTTTATTTTATATCTGGCATTCCTTCCGATTCTCGCGAGGCAGTCGGTGGTCTTGGTCTTCGTGGTCTCCCTGGGAACTCTGGCGCTGATGGGCGCCGTCGTCGCCGCAGGCTGCCTCCTGAGGCGCCTGGTAGCCAGGCTTCAGAAAGCCTTCAGGCATTTGTAAAAGCATACAAAGCTCCAACAGCCCTTAAACACTCTTTATGCAGACTCAACATCACCAAACCTCAGCAGGCTAAAACAAAAGAGCCAGGAGCTACATCCCAAAGCCTGGTCTGGGAATGGAGTGCGCGGCGCAGCTCCTGGTGTCTCAAGGGGCGGTGTTGCTGCAGCTTGCGCAGCTCTGGGCTCTGCTGGCGCGCCTCGGAAATCTGGGTCAATGTCCCTGTCTCGCTCTTACACGTCTGTACATACTGTATGTATAAAAGAAGTCTTGTGAAAGTTGCAGTGTGGGGGCACAGCTCTGGGTTCGCTGTCGCCATCCTCTTGCACTGAGCTTGCTACCCAGGCGCCTGACGAGTGCCAGGGAGGCACAAAAGGCGCCTGGGTTGCACTTGAAGCCCGGAGCTGCAGCTCCAAACAAGGGTTGATTCAGGCAATGTTTATTATGAAGGATTTTGGGGCTAAGGCTAAGGGTTTGTTGCGAACTCCGTTGCGATTTTTCGGTGTAGCCCCGTTGGAGCTGAGGTCTTGCAGGAAGTGGTCGCGTACAATGTCACAGATGACGTCCCCGCCCCTGAGGAGTTGAACACGGATCGCGGCTCGGCCTGGCAAGCCGAACTTGTTTTTTTTTTGTTTTTTTGTGCAGGGCATTGCAACGCCTGAAGCTGCGAAGATGTGAGCCGAGGGGACCCGCTTTTTTCCTACATCGAAATCCTACAGTTCACGGGCTCGGAGTTGCAAAGCTTCCTAGACTTCCAGTGCCTCTACGACGGTGCGACCGTCCGCGGCGTCTTCGCCCTTGCCACGCCCCTCCTTCCCTTGCTGGTCCTGGTTGCATGCGCCTGTGTTCTTGTTCGGGAACTTACTCTTTAAGACTTTAAGGTACCATAATACGGACCTGTAGTAATCGTAAATAAGCGGGTTTCTTTTTTGTGGCAACTTGAATTACACGTATCAGCAAGAGCCCAGGCGCCTGCCTAGAGCTTCGGAACCTTGGCATGGGATCCTTGGCTGCACCAGAGACATGCTACAAAAAAGCCCGCAACCGTGCTAGCCGCTTTTTCCGCCCAACCCAATACCATGGAGGTCTGGTTGAGGAAAGTATCCCCAAACAGTCCTTGAGTCCTTGTAAAACTACACAACATCATGGCCCGATGATCCCTCTGCCACAAACTCTACCTTAAAAAGGTATTCGGGCCTTTTTTTATTCATACTTTCGAGGCATCCAGCTGGCACTCCGCGCCTTGACGGTCCTCTTCGTAGGAGGCGCCTCCGGCGCGGTGAAGCTGTTGGGCTGCCAGCGCGCCGACGGCGAAGGCGGGGTGTTTAGCATTTAGTCTTAGATAGGGTACTGTTGCGGGGGGTCTCAGAGAGGGGGTTAGGGTTTGAGGGTCTCTAACGTGTAAGGCTTTAGTGTGGGTTTTTTGTGCCCTAACCCTCAATCACTAAACCCTCAACCCCTAAAGCCTACGAGGCACCTGGATACCAGACGACCTGGCCTTCCGTCCGCTTTTCCCGTGGCTCCGGTGCTCGAAGGAGACCGCCGCAGCCACCTGGGTGGGGGTGCCCAGTGCTCTCTTGGGTTTAGGGATCAGGGTTCTTTCGGTTTAGGATTTAGGGGATTTACAAACGAAATATATATATTTTTTTTTCGGGGGGGTTTAGGGGACGAGACCCTATTCAACGTTTGTTTGGGAAGCCCTTGACGCGAATTTCGAACTCCTGCGTGTTTGTACTATAAGCAATATCTAGGCTTCCTTGTCCGAGGTGGACCGAATCGGCTGGAGCACTGCCGCCGTCTATGGCGGTGCAGTGCCCTGTTTCCTCGCCTTCCTTTTCTTCAGGCAGCACCGCACCATGCGGCCGCTCAGATCTGTTTAGGGTTTAGGGGCAAAGTTTAGGGGTGCCTCCTAAGAGCTACACCCACAGGCTTCTCAGTGAACTTGACAAAGGCAGTGCAAGACCTTCTTTGTCGTCAGTGCCAACCAGGAGAACGGCAGCGTCCAGCTGGAGCTCACCGCATGCGCAAAGTCGGAGCACTTCGAGGACCAAGAGCAGAAGGGCTCATGCGCATACTTGTTGTATCCTGTTGTTTAGGGTTTCTGGTATAGGGTTAGGAAACAAGTTAATTGCAGAGGAACTTCCTGTCTTGCTTCCCGTCGCTTGGTTACAGTCTGACATGCCGATGAAGCGAAGTGACATGTCTGCTCTGCGTGCAGCACACTCTAAACCCTGAGCCCCACCTCTCGCTACGTGGATCACTATCGCACAGGCCCGCATCGCTTCAATCTGATTGTGCTCTGTCTGCAACCCACTTTCACAGCGGTCATGTGAGCATGTGAGCAAACCTAGCCGGTACGCGAGTAGCATGACGATTCGCCGCTGGAGCCTTTCTTTTCTCTCCCACGCCGTCTGAGGCACCCAAACCTATTCGTTTCAAGACTCACTCCATGGCTTTTTTGTTTAGGTCAGGGCAGAGGCGGGGCACAGGTAGGAAGCAGGGCAACAGGGCAGGGCAAGGGAGGGCAGGGGGCAGGGTGCAGGGCAGGGCCAGGGCAGGGCCAGGGCAGAGCACAGGCAGGGTTTAGAGGGTTGGAGCCTGGGGCAGAGAGGAAAGGGGTTGGGGCCTGGGGGAGAAAGGAAATCGGGGTTTGGGGGTGTAGGGTTCGGTGATGAGGCCTTCTCATGCACTCGAAATTGCAATGTCGCTAGGTACTTCCGCTTATGCGCAAAATTGCGTTGCGGCAAACCCCAAACCCCAAACCCTAAACCCCAAAACCCTAAACCCCTAAACCCCTAAACTTAATCCCCAAACCTGTAAACTCCTAAACTCCTAAACCCTAAAACCCCCCAGGCCCTAAACATTAAACCCGTATCCGATGCAGGAGGAGCTCCTGGCAAGGCGCCTACTGGGTGCTGCAGCGGCCCACCTGGCGGTGCAGAGGCCCGGAGCAGTTGTGGTGGAGCTCCACCAAAACGCGGTGACTCTCGGCAGTTCAGGTTTTAGGGTTTGCGGGCTTAGTGGTTTAGGGGTTTAGGGTTAGGTAGACACAAAAGCTTAAACTTTAAGGTTCTGGGGTTTAGGGTTTGGTTTGGAGGTCCAGGCTAACGCGCCCCTTAATGACCATGGGATCCTAGCAGGTTTTTGGGGCTTAAGGCTTCGCTGGTTTGGGCGGCGGTGGGGTGGGGGGGGGGGGGGGG